TCCACTCACCTCAGCCTCCCCAAGGTGCGGGATTACAGGCTGAGCCACCGAGCCCGGCTAAAAAAATTTTTTTTTAATTAACCGGGCACGGTGGCATGCACCTGTAGTCCCAGCTACTCTGGAAGCTGAGGTGGAAAGATCACCTGAGCCTAAAGGTCGAGGCTGTGATGAGCCATGATCATGCCACTGCATCCCAGCCTAGGCAGCAGGGTAAGACACTGACTCAAAAAAGAAAAAAGAAGAAGAGGTCACAGTTGTAGTCCTAGCTACCTAGCTACTCAGGAGGCTGAGGCAGGAGGATCCCTTGTGCCCAGGGAGACCAGCCTAGGGAATATAGTCTAAAAAAAAAAAAAAGACAAAAAAAGAGGAAAAGACACCATCTCTGTGTGGGTACAGACACAGAGGAAAGTCCATGTGAGAACACAGCAAGAAAGCAGCCATCTGCAACCCAAGGAGAGGTGCCTCACCAGACACCAACCCTGCTGGCACCTTGATCTTAGACTTCCGGTCTCCAGAACTGTGAGAAAATGTCTGTTGTTTAAGCCACCCAGTCTGTGGTAGTCTATTATGGCAGCCCAAGCAGATTAATACAGCCCTACAACTCACTCCCTTCCCCTTTCTACCTTAAGGCACCTACTTTTATGTGCTTAATGTCTATTTTTTTGGTTTGAATGCATTTTGAAAAAAAACGTACTGAGGTACATTATAATATACATCAATAGTATATGTTTATACAAATAGTCATTCTGTTAACTTTTATTTTTCTTTGTAGAGACAGGGGTCCATGCTATGTTGTCCAGGCTGATCTCAAACTCCTGGCCTCAAGCAATCCTCCTGCCTCAATCTGCCAAAGAGCTGGGACTACAGACATGAGCTCCCATGCCTAGCCCTTTTATAATTTTTTTTAAAGACCATTTTTTAAAAAGACTGTTCATTTTGCAGTCAGCATTATTTTTAAAGATCCATTCATAGTGTCATGTATATGTCACTGTTTTTGTTTTGCTTTGACAGGGTCTTGCTCTGTCACTCGGGCTGGAGTGTGGTGGCATGAGCTTAGTTCAAGCAATCCTTCTGCCCCAGCCTCCTGAGTAGGTGGGACTACAGGTGTGCACCACCATGTCCAGCTAAATTATTTCAATTTTAATTTTGCAGAGATGGGGTCTCACTATGCTGCCCAGGCTTATCTCAAACTCCTAGCATCAAGTAATCCTCTTGCCTTGGCTTCCCAAAGTGATGGGATTACAGACATGGGCCACTGCACCCAGCCCCTGTGTATGTCTTATCCTTACTTCCTTCTCATTTACAGTACCATTGCCCTAATGTAACCTTAGAAAAGTCACTTCCTTAGGACTTTCTTTCCTCATCTATCAAATAGGATTGGGGCTGGGCTCGGTGGCTCAGCCTGTAATCCCAGCATTTTGGAAGTCTCAGGTGAGTGGATTGCCTGAGCCCGCAGGTTCGAGACCCGCCTGGGCAACTTGGTGAGACCTCATCTCTACAATAAATCAAAAAATGATGGCCGGGCTCGGTGGCTCAGCCTGTAATCCCATGCCTTGGGAGACTGAGATGAGTGGATTGCCTGAGCCCATGGGTTTGAGACCCGCCTGGGCAACGTGGCAAGACCTCACCTCTACAATAAATAAAAAATTAGCCGG